GCGATTGGCACAGGATAGAGCAGGGTTTAGGGCTGTTGTACATAGGGTCGCTATGAGTTGCAAACGACTCGACGGCACATCACAACAACAACAACATTTTTTATTTCTGTTTTGGGGGGAAGGGGAATTTTCTAACGACTAAGGAAGTGGAGGATGAAGGAGAAATGGATTGAGGAAGGAGGGACGAGAAGATGGAGGGAGAAAGGAGAGAATGTGAGAGAGAGAAGGCAAAGTGAGGAGGACACGTATGTAACCAGAGATGACATATTAGGACACGGCTGTCTACAATGTCAGCAGCATCTCAATTTGAGATTCATACCAAGTTCAAGAGGACCGAGAGTTCTGGGGGAAAAAAGATTTACCAGCCTGCAGATAAAAAGTCTTAAAAACTGTAATAATAACATACTGTAATAGATAAGAAGACTAGCCTTTACTTATTAATATTTTAAAAGGGAGAAGTGTGCTTTTATGGCAGAAGGGCAATTTTTAGGAAGACCCGCTTATATAATTTGAATTCTATCAGTTGCCTCCCCACCCCCTGAAATTTAAAAGCTGAGAGGTACTCCCTGCAGTTCAAATGGTGGCCCTTCAAAAGCACCAGGAGCTTCCATTGAACAGTGTGACATTCCATCAACAAAGGAATGGATAGAGAAGCTCTGGTATATACTCACAATGGAATACTACGCAGCATTGAAAAACAAGAATGGATGACTCTCGAGGACATTATGCTGGGTGAAATATCTCAGTCACAGAAGGACAAATATTGCATAGGGCCACTGTTGTAAAATGGGGCTGACATCAGGGTTGAGGGAAGACTGAAAAGGAGGGGAGGAACGATGTATACTGCATTGAAATAGGTGAGGGAGAAAACTCTTTAAAAGGGATATATGAATGGGTTTTCATGTCATTACAGAAGTAAAGAGTGAAGGCTGCAGAGTGGAGTGGACTTGGGGGAGAAACTGAATAATAATGAAAGAGTTTTTCTTTTTCATTGCAAATATCGTTTTTTTTAAAAAAAATTAATAATTTTAGCGAGCATTTACAAAGATTTTGGATTTCTATTCATTCATTGTTGCACTTTTTTCCCTGCCCAGACCTTCCCCCAAGCCCCCACTCCAGTTCACTCCTCTCTTTGAGAAGTAAAAGAAAAATTCTTTCTTTGGTATACAATCCCCCCACACACCTCCCACCGGCCCACGTACACTCCATTTGCAACCTTAATTGCGGACTCTTGTGATAACTATAATACCCTATCATGTATCGCATTTAAATTATTCTTTCCCTCGTCTGTTTCAGTGCAGGATACACAATTTATCCAGTTTTTCTCAGTCTTACCCCAACCCTGATATTAGTCCCATTTTACAGCAGTGGCACTATGCAGTATTTGTCCTTTAGCGACTGAGATATTTCACTCAGCATAATGTCCTCCAGGGTCACCCATTTTGAATAATATTGCATGAGTTCCTTGTTTTTCAGAAGAGTTTTTCTTTTCAAGGAAAACGGTTAAATTGGGGTGGGGGGAGCAGGGAGAAAAGTGAAACAACGAATAACTGGAAACCCTAAGTCTCTATAAACTTTCATTAAAATTAATAGAAAAAATAGAGGGGGGAAAGTGTGACATTGACCAAGCAAATTTTTACACTTTCAGTCTTAAAGGAGCTGGACGGTCAGCACTCACTTGGTTTGGGCATGACAGCAATGAACTTTCATTCTGGCACTCCAGTTAAAACAACTAACATTTGTACCACCAGAGCATCTTATAAAGAAGCTCACTTATTTTTCTAGCGAACGACATATTAAGGAGTTCCAGGTCTGATGCATCCTGTATCCACTGCTAGCCAATTGGTTCCAAATCCCCGTTGATCACCCATTAGGTCTCCAACCTTTTTAAAACAAATGTCCTGAAATTACCCCTCTTTTCTCCATGGACTAGAGGTGGATTCCTGGAGATGGCAATGGCCTATGATCAACTGCATAACACCCTATGGACTAAGCAGATGACCTCCACACCACCCCTAACCCTTACTGCCCACATATGCCATGGAGTTAAGGACCTCTGCTACTTTCAAGGGCTCCTCCACCTCCACCTCTGTCTACAAATCCCATGATTTCTGCTTTGTGATTTGACTGGACCCAGAGAAGGTGACAGGCAGGCTCCTGTCCTGAGCTCCAGTGCCCTGCTCCCACGCTCCCAAGGTCTGACCTTGAACCTGTGACTTGCAATCACTGAACATCTTTGTGCTCTGCTTCCCTGAGCACCAGTGCCCTGCTCCCACGATCCCAGGGTCTGACCTTGCACGTGTGACTTGCAATCCCTGGAAACCTGTGAGCTCTGCTTCCCTGGAGACCTGGGTGCCCAGATGACAGCGCTTCAGGGCTCCCAGTCACACACATCTGCACAATTGAAATTGTCTCAAAGATCTGCGGATAGAAGGCTGGTTCTCTCTTCACTTTATTCATTGACATCTACGTTTCAGTCCAGGCATCTCTTACAAAAAAAAACCAAAGCCGCCCACCTGAGGGTCACCTGTTTTTTTCCTTGTGACTTGAGAACAAAGAGCAGAAGGGAAATAAATAAAGCAGCCCGGATTCTAAACTGCCGGGTAGGAACCAAAGCTCAGCGTCGGGGCTGTGGTCGTCGTTTCCGCCCGGAGGTATTTTTGTGAGACACTCTTCAGCTCTAAGCGGAAGTTGACTTGTGCAGTGCTATTGCGGTTGCTGCGTTTCCAATGCGGCTGTTGTGACGGGATTTTCCTCTTTCTCCGTCACATTAGGCCGGGCACGTGACCGCTAGTGCCCCTCCCGAGTCCAAGGCGGTGGCTCCCACCGTCCGATCGTGTCCGGTGTGTCCTGGGCCGCCGCCTTCTCCGCGAGCGGCTGCTTCCCGGTCCCGCGGCCTCGCTGCCGAGTGTCCGGAGCGGCCTTGTGCGCTTCTCCGGGCCCGGAGGTGAGTGTGCGCGGAGGACCAGGGTGGTGGTCAGTCCCCTGGGGGCCGGGAGGTGAGTGTGCGCGGAGGACCAGGGTGGTGGTCAGTCCCCTGGGGGCCGGGAGGTGAGTGTGCATGGAGGACCAGGGTGGTGGTCAGTCCCCGGGGGTTTAGGAGGTGAGTGTGCACGGAGAACCAGGGTGGTGGTCAGTGCGAGGGTGGGAGAGCTGGACGCTGTGCCTAGGGCTTCACACCTCGTGGCACCTACGGATCCTGGGAGGGAGGCGGGGACAGGGGCGTTTACAAAAGTCATCATCTTCAGGAAGTATGTTTTTCTAAAGTTAATATAAAGTCGATTTCATTTTCTGAACAGTGCTTTTCATCTCTTTTCTATTAAGAGTATATTTTTCTTTGTGTTGTATTTTTTTATTTTTTTTAAATTAGCTTTAGAGTATATTTTTCTGTGTGTGTGTTTTGTTTTTTTTTTTATTTTTTAAATTAACTTTAATGAACGTTTACAGAGATTTAGGATTTGCAGTCATTCATTTTTGCGCTTTTCTCCCTGCCCACACCCTCCCCCCAATTCACTCTTCTCCTTGGAAAGCAAAAGAAAGGGGAGCTCTGGTGTCTTAGTGGCAAGAAGCTGCTCTGTAATCCCAGAGGCGCATGGTTCGAATCCACCAGATGCTCTGCCAGGAAAGGAGGGACAATCTCCTCCTGTACCAGTCACATCTGATTTGACGGTACACAGACACAGAAAATAATAATAAAATTTAAAAAAAAAAGAAAAGGAAAAGAAAAATGTTTTCATTATGCTCTTCTCTCCCGCCCAAGTCCACTCCACTATGCAGCCTTCATGCTAGAGTCCTGTCATAACAATAATACCCACTCATATATCCCTTTTAAACAGTTCCCTTCCTCATCAGTTTCAATGCTGTATACATAATTAATCCCATCTTTCTCAGTCTCTCCCAAACCCTGATATCAGTCCTGTTTTACAACAGTGGCCCTATGGAGTATTTGTCCTTTTGTGACTGAGATGTTTCACTCAGCATAATGTCCTCTATGGTCACCCATTTTGTATAATATTGCATGAGTTCCTTGTTTTTCAGTGCAGCGTGGTATTTCCTTATACCACAGCCTCTCTATCCATTTGTTTGTTGGTGGGCACTTGGGTTGTTTCCAACGCTTTGCTATTGTGAACAAAGCCTCAGTAACCATGGCTGTGCATATATCTGCTTGGGTTGCAGTTATGGTTTCTTTAGGGTAAATTCCCAGTTGTGGAAATGCTGGGTCAAATGATACTTCTCTTTTCAGCTTTTTGAGAAAGCATCATTCAGCCTTCCAAAGTGCACCATTTTACACTCCCACCTACAGTGAATAAGGATTCCACTTTCTCCACAACCTTGCCACTATTTGGTGTTTGCTGTTCTGTTAAATTTTGCTATTCTTATTGGGGCAGGATAATATATCTTAGTTGTTTTGATATGCATCTCTTTTCGAGCTAGGGATATTGAACATATCTTCATGTGTTTGTTGGCCATCTGAATGTTTTCTTCAGTGAAGTGTCTGTTCATATCCTGTGCCCGTTTCCAGTTGGGTTATTTACTCTTATCTTGATGTGGTGCTCAAATATTTTATAAGTTGTAGATGTAAGTCCCTTGTCAGACATGTCATTACCAAATTTTTTTTCTAATTTGTGGCTTCCCTTTTTACCGTGTTGGAAAAGTTTTTGGATGTGCATAGGGTTTTAATTCTTAGAAGGTCCCATTCATGTATTTTCTCCTCTCTTGGTTGTAGATAAGAGATAGTATTTTTAATTTATCACAGTTCTTTCACATAAATTGGCTCCTGTCTGACTTCAGAGCTTCATCGGTGGAGTTGCATCTTTTTTGAGAATTGCTTCTCATAAAAGTGAAAATTTTAGTTGTGGAATCTCTGCTTTTATTTGAAGATTACATACTGTAGTGCAATGTAGAAAGTGTACTCTGGACCACGTTTAAATCCACTTTCAGAGTGAAAATAATTAGTAAGAGTTCTGTTATGAGCGATTTTGCTCTGAAGTAGACCCTGTCAGTGCTGTCAAGAAACACTATGTCCAGTCCCAGCTGCGGCCTGTGATTATTTAGGACATGAGGTGCACTGCCGCGGGCTGCTCCAGTCGGGAGGGGCTTATAAGCCTGAGGTCTAGGGTCTCAAAGAGGGAACACGAAAGTGGGTAGAAGTTCGGCGAAGGGACGATGAAAGAACACAAGACAAACAGTCAAGTGATGATTTTCATTCTAATTCTCCTTCTTCTTTCTTCCTTTCTTTTTTCTTATTACATTTAGCATGATAACATTTATATTCCATTTTTACAATTAAGGGCTTAATTAACAGCCAGAAAAACAACAAAAGTAAGAATAAAGTGTACATTATTTTCTTACACACACCTATTCTTTATGGTCATAGTTCCATGGACAGCATGAAAGGCTATTCTTTGGTCATGGTTCTTTGGTAATTGGAGAGCTTGGTGGACAATGGCTTTTCGCTTAAACATTTTTTTTTTAAACCTGTTTTTAAACCTGTCCTTCAACCTGCTTGGTTTACAAAGTAAAAAAGTTACATTTTAAATTTAAGCTGATACATTTTACATTTTTAGCTGAATTTACAATATTATTTATTTCCATTCAAAAGACAACACTTTTACTGTTTCCATTATTCTAGGGGTGATCACTATCTCAATAAGGGGGTTTAGGTTTATACAAAAGATGTTTTGGGTCATAATATCGCCTAAATTCATCATTCCAATCTCATATGTTTCATGATTTATTTTACCACTTATACCTTTCATATAACATCTTCCCTCTGGTCGCTTTCTTTTTTTTTTTCTTTTTTTTTTTTTTCCTCTGGTCGCTTTCAAACCTCTTGAAAAACATATCCCAAAAACCATCAGGGTGTTTTGCATTAAATTCATCATATTTTCCAGTATATGGAAGAGGTTTATCTGTAGGCTCTGGAATTGTGTAAGGGCCTCTCCCAATAGGGGGCTGCCACACACAACTATTACCTAACAGATAAACAATTCTTCCACCTGGTGTTCTCATGGTGGGGGGCAAGGGTTTGGGTTTTTCCTTTGAAGGAGTTCTTATAAGCACTAGAAATCTAGGAATCTCTGGAGTGGTCATCTCTAGGATTTCCACCACTAATTCTTTTTGTTATAATGCAGCCATGAATTCCCTTAAAATAATATTGTTCTTGAGAAGTTTTAGTAATGCTAAAAGGACCAGAGGTAATGTTTGCGTATCAAAGTCGTCACCTCCGTTTAGTTCTTTCTGGGAACATCTAACAAACTTTTAGTAGGAACACTTTGTGTAAAGAACACAGCTTTTTTTCCCTGTCCCACATAGAAAACACAAAGAGGCAATAGAAGAGAAATTACAGAAAGGCCAAGAACCATCATGGAGAAAGCACACATTCCGAGAGGCTGACTTCCTTGAAGTTTTCGCCTCTATCGGGTGATTTTGTCACGCAGACTCCCTTGGAGTTGGTGTGGCATTTCTCCCTTTTTTATTTTTTAATTGAAGCTCAAAGATATCTTGGCATGAAGAAGAGACAGCTTTAAAGATTAAACTGGAAAGAACTGGAAAAATAAAGACAACAATTAATATAATCTTTTTTATTACAGCCATCATAACGACTGCGTGTAACCAATTAAAAGGATCCATTCGCTGAAGTCCATTTTGTAAAGATTTAGCCAATTGTTCTATATCAGGGATATCTAAATGAGCTTCACTGACAGCACTGATCTCATCTTGCAAATTCTTTAAATTATGGGTTATGTCATTATCTCTCCAAATTCCCAATAAATGATTTTTTGTGATATTCCAATTCATACTTTCATTATACTTCAATGGAGTTACACAAATAAATTTAAATTCAGCATGGCACCTGGTGCATAACTGAATTTTTAAATTACTTACTTCCTGTCCAATTGCTAAAACCACATCTTCAAGAACATTTAATTTTGATTCTAATTTCTTATCAATCATTTGTTGTTCAATTAAAGCTAAAGAAACATTTTTACTTAAATCATTTACATAATTAGCAATATTTACTTCAGAAACTAATACAACGGTAAATACAGTCAAAGACGTTAAAATAGCTATTAAAGCACTTATTCTATTTTTTTTTCTCTAGATTTATTTT